AGTACTGATTTATTATCATTTAATTACTGTGGAAAACACAAAAGTACTGATTTATTATAATTTAATTAATGTGAAAAACAAAAGTACTGATTTATTATCATTTAATGTGAAAAACACAAAAGTACTGATTTATTTTCCTCTAATTACTGTGTATACACAAATGTACTAATTTCTTATCCTCTAATTACTGTAAAAAACACAAAAGTACTGATTTATTATCATTTAATTACTGTGAAAAACACAAAAGTACTGATTAATTATCATTTAATTACTGTGAAAAAACAAAAGTACTGATTAATTATCATTTAATTACTGTAAAAAAACAAAAGTACTGATTAATTATCATTTAATTACTGTTGAAAACACAAACGTACTGATTAATTATCATTTAATTACTGTTGAAAACACAAAAGTACTGATTTATTATCATTTAATTACTGTTGAAAACACAAAAGTACTGATTTATTATCATTTAATTACTGTTGAAAACACTATAGGCACTGTGCTCATGACAAAGTGTATATGTGGAGCTCAAAGGTTTTAGTTTTAAGGTCCACTTTGTTGAAACTGACAGACCTTATGAAACTCTTAACGGGTCAGAGTGTACAGAACCAGAACATTTCAAAACAAATGTTTGCAGAAAGTAGAGGATTATGAGCTGAGAGAACATGTTCATTATAACATACAAGAAACATTTATCAAAGTCAAGAAAAAACAAAAGGCTGATAAAGTATCTTTAAAATCATCAGAATCAGGAAAATGTTGCTTATTTATTGTTGATATTTGGTGTGAAACTTACTTCCTAGTTATAATTGGCATCAGTTTATGAATAAAACCTCTGATGAGTTATGTTTTTGTACAAAAACTAAATTGTCTTTTAAATTTGATACATTATTCGCCGTAAAACAACGGTTTTATTTACAGAGCTCAGGAGACGTACCGACGCAGGTCATGGAGGTCGTGTCCAGCACGTATCCTTGGTAACAGTCGCAGGTGTAACCCTCCGAGACACGGATACACCTGCCGTTCTCACAGCCGTGGAGTATCCCACAATCCTCTGCTGCGTTCAGGCCGGCATACGTGTCGTAACGCCCTAAAAGACGAGACGCCGAGAAGAACACGTGAAGATTCTGTCCTATTTTTACTGCTGGAGATAAACTCCAGAGACTTTTGGGAACAGGGACCGGTCTTTGTTTATCGCTGGAATCTGGTTAGTTATTTATGTTTTAACAAACTCACTCTCGTACACCCTCCGTGGTGCGCCTCCTCCTCCTGCTCCTCCTCTGCTCCGGTCAGTGAAGGAGGGAAACCTTGGACCTGGTCTCCACGTCCTCTCCTCCTCCTCCTCTTCCTCCTGAACCTCGTAGGGAGATCCGGGCAGCGGAGCCAGGTTCAGAGCAGGTAAGTCAGACCGGGTCCCAAACCCGAGCTCAGATCGGGAGTCCGGCGGGAGGCCAAAAGATGGAGGCCTGCGATGGGAGCTGTCGGGGGAGCCGTAGTCTCCTTCAGAGTAATAACTGGTGCTAAGAGACAAAAATCATCTGTTAGCGTTCCAGGACATTAAAAAGATCAAATCCAGGATAAGAACTTCGGTCCACACCTGAACTCGGGTCCTTGATAGGTTTCATCAGGCAGACCGGTCCTGCCCCTGAAGCTGGACCTGCTGCCCCCTGCTGGAGAGTAATCATCGTAATCAGGACGACCGAAGTCTCTGCTGGGAGCCAACTCTGGAGGGAGGAAGTCCCGACTGTAGGGGGGACCTGAGGAGACAGAACTACATTTCAGAACAAAACTACAGAAAAAAAAAAGAAGCTTTTCAATAAGTCGTATTGTTTTACCGCTGGCGCCGCCGTGACCTGCTCCAGTTTCTGATCCAGCAGACTCTGGAAAACGCTCCGGGAACACAGGAGCAGAAAAGGAGCTGCACAGCGACGCATAGTCCTCTGCAGAAACATTCACATGAACTCATATCTGTGCTTTATGAACCCGACATCGTCTCCTGAAAAGAAACAAACCTTTACCGTGTTTTTCGGACTATAAGGCGCACCGGAAGGCGCAATATCAACGAACGGGTCTGTTTTCATACATAAGGTGCACCGGACTACAAGGCGCATTAAGCGAAACAAAACAGATAAGTCAAATTTTATTCAACTCATTCACAATAAGCACATGAAACCAGTTTGAGGTCAGTAAGCACAACCAGAGTTAATACATAAGGCGCACCTGATTATAAGGCTCACTGTCAATTTTTGAGAAAATTGAAGGATTTTAAGTGTGCCTTATAGTCCGAAAAACACGGTACATGGGTGTCATGGAGCGTTTGTGACGTCTTAGAGTTCATGCTACAGAAGTTTTCAAAATTAAAAAGTAAGACGGAGTGTTAGAGGTGAAACATGATGCATTTAAAGTGTTTCCCACTATTAAACCAACTGTTGTTTGCTTGTTGTGTTTTTGTTGTCGTTTACCGGAGTCGGTGGCGGGGCAGAGGGCACAGCCCATCCCCCAACCCTCCCCATAAAAACAGCAGCAGTCGATGAACGTGACCTGAGCTCCGAGCAGAGGACTCTGACACAGCAGGTCTGCGGTGACGTGCTGCCAGCACACAGACAGATTCTCATCTGGAGACAATAAATAAGTCAAAATGTTCGTCTCTATGCCGACGATACGTCGTTGTTTTTATTTCAGTGTAGTTTGATTTTCTCTGCCTGTGATCTTTGTTACAGTAAAATAATTGCAACCACAAATCGAAGACCTGAAGAAGAGAAGGAGGAAGTTAAGGGTCTCACCTATGGTGAGGTGGGACGCGTTGACACAGTTTCTCTGAGTGTCGTCGAGCACCAACGGAGGCAAACAGCTGCAGTAATATGAACCCACTGTGTTGACACAAAGGCCTCCAACACAACTTTCCTCCTCACACTCATCATGATCTGGAATAAACACAAACAGTTCAGCTTCTCCAGGAGAAACAGCTGAAAGCGGCTGAGCGGGCGTTCGTACCGACACACTCCAGCATCATGCTGTTGTAAACATATCCACTGGAGCAGTAGCAGCTGTACCCGGGGATGTTGTTCACACACACTCCGTTCTTACAGACCTCTGGATGGAAACGTTTACACTCATCCACGTCTGGAAACACAGGAACAAACAAACATCTGGCTGTTTACATTTGGTGTTCAGAAGCCTCCTGATTCATCCAATCACAAGAGACAACTCTGAGTTTGAGTGTTCAAACATGGAACGGACCAGTGGTGTTGGAGCTCAGCCACCGTCCATGAAACAAAACATAAACCTTCAGTCAGACATGAGCTTAACAACAAGGACATGAACGGGTCGAAAATGTTTCTGAGAAAACAAACAGGAAGTAACTTTACCAACCCATAAAAACACCAAGTTTATAAGATACACAATATATTTATTATATATGATACATAAGATATTTATTATACAAGATACACAATATATTTATTATACAAGATACACAATATATGTATTATATAAGATACATAATATATTTATTATATAAGATACACAATATATTTATTATACAAGATACACAATATATGTATTATATAAGATACATAATATATTTATTATATAAGATACACAATATATTTATTACATTTGTTAGAATGAAAAACATAATTTACATTTTCCCAAAACAAAAAAAAAGTATCTGAAAATTTTTAGGTTTAAAAACTTAAACTAAAAGAGCAGCCAAAATCCAAACAAACCTCTGAAAGACTTTGATGTTCACTCTGCACCCCCACCCTTGACCTTCACTCTGCACCTCCACCCTTGACCTTCACTCTGTGAGGTTCATGCTACACTATGGTTCTTGCCATTGATGGGAGTTGTGTTCGTACCTCTGTAGCTGAAAGCTCCTGGTCCTGCTGTGATGTATCCTCTCCCGCTGGGACACAGAGATAGAAACTCGGCTGCAAAACAAACTTCTGCTGTCAGATGTGAAATCTAAGCGTAGGCCGCATCATGATGGAACTGACATCTTAGTCCCGCTACGTGTCCTGGGTCTTACCTGTGTCTACAGGTGGGCAGGTGTTGTACTGGCAGCCCAGGCCCCAACCCTCCCCCACAGTGCAGCAACACTCCTGCTGGCTAGTGTTGGTGGCCAGCAGGCTGCAGGTTCCCTGGTCAGCCAGGTTGTAGTAACACTCCCTGACCTCCCCAGGACGTGCCACAGGAAGTGGGGGCAGCACCGGAGCAACATCCACCATGCTGACAAGGAAGGAGGAGGAGGTGAAAGAACTTGTGGAAGAACCTGAAGAAGAAAAGGAGGTGTGTGGGGAGCCAGGAAGTGTTTCTGTTTGTGGAGAAACAAAAAGAAACGGACTGAAAGAAGTTTAACTTGTTCACAAGTAGTTTTTTTTTATTTATTTAAGAACAAAAGTTGTCGTTTCCTCTACAGGAGAGCGTCTCATTTTGAGAGAAGAGACCTGACGGTTAGTGTTTACCTGGTTTCACAGGTGTGACACACTGTCTGCTTGTTGAGTTGAAGATTTCTTCTGCGCTGACACATTTACACATGAAGCTTCCTTTAACGTTCTCACACCGAGCCGAGCCGCAGACACCGGGCTGAGCCACACACTCGTCCTCATCTGAAAACACACATGCTGGCTGCTTGTTTCTGACGAGTCATGGTCTGCGGTGACATTCAGGGGCTCTGGCTCACCTACGCAGCGGCCGTCCGCTGACACCTGATAACCTGGCTCACAACTCACGAGGCAGCGGTATGAGCCGATCGTATTCTCACATCGCTGTGACCCACAAACCGAACCACTCGAGGAGACGCACTCATCAACATCTGAGGAAGATGCAGACGAAGAAAAACAGGAAAACAAATGAGCTTCTGGTAGGAGTGTGTGTAAATATGTGTGTTTGTTTGTGTCCATATGTACCGAGGCAGGCGTTCTTCTCAGGGTTGCTGGCGAAGCCGCTTCTACACTCGCACTGAAACGAACCTTCAGTGTTCACACAGCGGCCGTCTGAACACACCCCTGACCTCACACACTCGTCCACGTCTGCAGAGGACAAGTTCAGTTCGCAAACTGTTCCCAGAACCACAACCGTCTTTAACAATAATGGAACAAAATCAGGTACAGGGACAATTATTGTCAGAAAAGAGTGGACTGTCCTCTCCTGGGTGGAGTGAGATGCTGCCTCTTTTGGTGGAGCTAAAATATCTCAGGGTTTTGTTCAAGAGCGAGGGAAGAATGAAGCGTGAGATTGTCGGACAGATGGGCGCAGCTTCCACAGTATTAAGGATTCTGTTCCGGTCCGTTGTGGTGAAGAGTGAACTGAGCTGCCAGGAGAAACTCTAATTACTGGTCAGTCCACATTTCTACCCTCACCTATGGTCACAAACTCCAGGCATGTTCAACCTAGAGGAGACTCCAGGGAAGACCCAGACCAGCTGAGAGACTGGCCTGGGAACACCTTGAGGTCCTCCCAGAAGAAGCGGCTGTGGGGAGATGTGTGGCTGAATGGATGGTTTTCACCAGCTCTGCACTGAGAAAATATGAATTCAAGAAAGTTTCTGCAGAAATGTTAAAGGAACCAGAGAAGCTCCTCCCTGAAGCTCCAGCATCTTCCAGTTTTCATCTCTAAAGCCCAACAGGATTCTGGGATTATGCTTCTTTATAATCTAAGCTGATAACGTGCACCTTTAGTCAGACAAAGTGTAGAAGTGTAAAGCTCGTGGAGAAGCAGTGACTCAGAATCATGATAGAATCACAGGTGATTTGGGATTTTTAACTTTTTACCTGTAACAAAACTTTGTTAGAGTTAAAGACAATCTGTAGAAAAGGTTTTGTAATCTCCAACTCTTATTGTTTTGAAAGATTCTCCAGTTAGCAGGTTATTCTACGACAGGATTAGATAAACACAGATAAATCTGTTGGTTTCCTTCCACAATTAAAAAACAAAACTGGTGTGTGTGAAGCCAAAAAGCTCCAGTTTTGTCTTCTCAGTCAGAACTTTGATGAAATAATGAAATAATCTGTCTTTTAGTGATTTTTAAAAAATAAAAACCTCAGATCTTCTAATGAATTAAAATGTGACGAATGGTGCAATTAAAAAATGACAAACCTTCAATTTGGAGTTGAGCTTGAATGGTTCTGGGTGGTCCCCTCAGCTTGTTTTACACAGTCCACACTATCAAATCAACCTGGAGTCGCATTTCCTCTTGCGCCCACATCCCAAGGAGTTGGTTACAGTCCCATGAACCTTCTACTTTTTAATCATCTTGTCAGCTGCTGTCAGAGGAACATGAAGCAGCTTGGGCACGGTCTTGTAGCCGTTAGCTTTAAGGTGGATCTCTATCATCTTCTCTCTGAGCTCCTCACACAGCTCAGGTTCAGTGAGGTGAACAGAACCAAACCAGTCCACCCAGTATCTGTTCTCTTTCAACAGGATGAATGTCTGAAGAGCTTGTCTTAGTGTCTACAGCGCTCGAAGACTTCAGAGGTACGAATGAAGGCCAAACATTTAGTTTGAAACTTGACCACAATGTAACGATTACTCATCTCTTTTGGAGATCAACAAATCAATTATTTTCTTTTTGTTTATCACAAACTAATTTATTTGTTACTTATTAAACCTTTATATAAACAGGATAATCCCCTTGAGATCACAGATCTCTTGGGAGGCCTGGGCCTGAAGGCAGCGCATGTTTTGGACTGTGGTAGAAAACCCACAAACACGTGGAGAACATGCAAACTGCACGTAGAAAGACCCCAGGTCCAACCTGGGAATTGAACCCAGGACCTTTTTGCTGCGAGGCAACAGGTCTAACCATTTCGCTGTCGTGCTGCCAGAGGCAAACTAAAGGAATACAGTTGCCGTTTTTAACTGAATTCATTTTTGTGAGAAATCAAACTTTGGATGAGTGAGCTGGAAGAGAAGCGCCAGTTTTATCTGTGTCTTTACAGGAAGCAGATTACAGATTACATTTTATTTATTTGTTGTTTGAGTTGTTTGGATGATGGTTACATTTCACAGAGCAACTGTCAGGAGACCTGAACAAACCAAAAGACACTAAGGGACGTGTTGTTGGACGGACTCACCGAGGCAGGCCGTCCGGTTGTCGCTGAGCGTGAATCCAGGTGAACACACGCACATGTATGATCCAGGCGTGTTCACACACTCTCCCCTGGAGAAACAGAAGTCTCCCTCCAAACACTCGTTAACGTCTGAGGACAAAAACATTTACTGGTCCAGAAACAGCTCAAACTGCAGGAAGACCCAAACACAGTTTTGTGATTGTGACCGAGGTTCAGGATTATCTTCATGATACGCAGTCACATCGTTCAGAGACACAATCCACACGAGAAAAACAAATTAACCCCGGGAAGACCTTACGGGGAAAAATAGTTTGTGTTTTATGTATTTACTTTTGGAGCAGTCAATCAACTTTTTTTTTGTAACAAAGCCTAAACTTGTATTTATTTTTTATTATTTTGTCAGAATTACTTCAAATGTGCCTGTAACCTCAGAGTAACTTTACTACATTCTGTGCTCCTTAGGGAAAAATCCATTAAAAGAAAAATTGAGCCCATATTAAAAATAAAAAAACCACATTCCTCTCAGTAATGTTTTTATCTCTGTACCTCCATCCCTACACTTCAAATTTGTATACGAGTCCTGCTCTGCTTTTATGTCTGAGAACCTCTGAGAAATTTACCGGAGGACCTCAGTCACCTGGAAATAGATTCAGACTGGACTTGCTGTGGAGTTCCGCTTCACATCTTGTCAGATAAAATTGTTGTAGTTTGGATGTAAGGAGCAAAAGCACACTTGCGGGTTGCACAAGTAAACGTTCGGTATATAAAGATCTGTTCCACGTGCGTGCAGGCTGCAGAATCGAACACACGACTCAGACGACGATCCACTCGGTTTTCCAAAAGCAGAACGTAAAAGGCAGAAGCTGGGAGTCTGTACGGGTCAGTGAAAGAAGAACATGAAGGAGAAACGACTGTTGTGAACAAGAAGGGCTTTATGAAAACAAGAGTATAAAAGAATGATAATAAAAATAAAATAAATAGAGAAACGTCTACGTTCAGCCGCTGAGCGACCTATTTGAATGAAAACAAGGCGGTTTTATTTTCGGCTACCGGATCTGAAGAGGGTCGGAGGGTCTTCACAAAACTCCTGACGAAAAAAAACAATAATCATTTTGGGATTACTAATGGGGAAAAATATTTATTTTATTTTTCATAAATTGCTATAGATAATTTATAAAAAAGAAATGTGGAGTTTATATTTGAACAAAAATAAAAGATCCTTAAAAGAGTTGAAATTTTTAAAGACATTTAAATTTCCATCCATCCATTATCTTTACCCGCTCGCTTCTTCCTTTTCGGGTCGAGGGGGGTCACTGGTGCTCATGTCCAGCAGTCACTGTTTGAGAGGCGGGGGACACCCTGGACAGGTCTCCAGTCCATCACAGGGACACATAGAGACAAACGAGACAACCATTCACTCTCTCACTCACACCTAGAGACAATTTAGATTTACCAATCAGCCTAACGTACGTTTTTGGTTTGTGGGAGAAAACCGGAGTACCCGGAGAAAACCCGTGCATGCACATAGAGAACATGCAAACGCCACCCAGAAATGGCCCAGGCCGGGATTTGAACCAGCGACCTGCTCGCTGAGAGGTGGCAGCTCCACCAACTGCACCACCGTGCTTCCCGCGATTTAAATGTGATATTTTTATTTTAGGCTGAGATAGCTCTAAAGCACTGACTAGTGGTCAAAAATGTTTTTAAAGCAGTTATAAGGTGGTTGATTTCTAAGGAACACTAAGTGTCTGAAAGTTAAATGGACTGGGTCAGAATAAGAAGTTTAAACAGAAATTCTGTTTTTATTACAGAAACCATCACAAATGACCTGGATCGAACGGTTCTATCAGAGGGATCGGGTTTTATTTTTTTGTTCATCGTCTCACCTCGGCACTGCCTCCCCAGGCCGGAGCGTCGATACCCGGGACCACAGTCGCACCGGAACGACCCGACTGTGTTCACGCACACCTGATCTGCTTCACAGGCTCCGATGTTCACACACTCGTCTACATCTGCAACAGAAACATCAAACTTTATATTTACGATCACAGGACACGGCTTCGATTCATCCAACACGACACTAAATACCAGAAGACTGCAGAGCTGAAAGAATAACGTAGATTTCACTTTTAAAAGTTATTAATCTCACGCTGGATTTTATTTTTGGAACAAAAGAAACATTAATAAAGTCAGATTTACAGACATTTTCGTTTTCAAAGATTTCACAAAGAAAAAATATTACATGTGGTTTTAAAGTTGGCAGAAAAATCAAACTACTTCTTTCATAAACTGGTTTCTGCTGATGTAGAATCCAAAACTAGAATCTACTTAGTGTCCAGAACATTAAAGGCCCTGAAATCTGTCTGAGCCCGCTCTATAATGGTTCAGAGTAAAACCTCCAACATTACTATCTGAAACTGGATGAGAACCAACTGAACCAGCACTGGACATCTGGAATTTATGATATAGAAACTGATGGTGTTCATGAGTTTTACACTTACAAATAAAAGATTATGATTCATAATGAGCTCAGAAGACAAGAAGCCAAGTACTAATCCCTGCGGCATGTCACAGGAACTGAGTACTCATCCCTGTAGTACACAAATACTGGGTACTTATCCATGTGCTTCACCACAGGTACCAGGATCTCATATATGTGATACACCACAGGAACCAAGTACTCATCCCTGTGGCACTCCACAGGAACCAACTACTTATCCCTGTGGTACGCAACAGGAATTGATTATTTGTCACTTACATCAAAAGAGATTGGGCGTTCTTTGATTCTTGAAGATGTTTTTCTTTTGTTTCAGGGAACTTCCTGAGCTATTAACAGTTCTTCAAGAATCTGAAAGAAGTCCTGCGGCATTTGATTAATCAAGAACGTCAAAGGAGGATCCAAGGTCTAAAATCTGGTAATTTTGTTTGTCAGCAGGTGAATGAATCAGCCCCAAGGATTGTTCTTTTTGTAAATAAAAGGGTATGGTCCTCATGTAGTGTACCAAAGCCTCATTGTGTGTCTGTGTGTGTACCTGTACACTGTCTGTTGGTCAGTGTGTAGCCAGGACGACAGGACACACAACTGTAGGACCCCACAGAGTTCACACACATCTGCCCAGGACACTGAGACGGCTCTGCGCATTCGTCTACATCTGATCGCACACAGATCAGTGATCAATAAATTATCATAACCGTGTATTTATTATTACATGACTCTCATCGGAAGGCAAGAGTCTCTGAACCTGTGCAGGTGTTGTTTTGGAGCTTGTAACCATGGCGACAGACACAGCGGTAACTGCCAGGTGTGTTTTCACAGCGACCATTGGGGCAAGGAGACCGACGGCACTCATCAATGTCTGCAAACAGAAACACCGGACATTATGCGCACGACACGGGAGGAACATTTAGGGTTCTGATCTGGTTTACCAGCAGCAGGTGAGCAGCGGTACCTGTGCAGAGCCTGTTGAGAAGTCCGAATCCCGGCTGGCAGGACTCACAACGAAACGAACCCTGAGTGTTGATACACTCCTGACCAGGACACTGCAGAGAATCCACACACTCGTCCACATCTGACACACAAAGGTCCCAAACATGACTCAGCATTAACACCTGATGTACAAAGGTCCCAAAC